GGGAAGAAGCACACAGGGGAAGGAGAAAGCCTTTGAGGCGTAAGGGAGAACAGCCCAGGCCTCCTTGGCTCCCTGAGGCCCTTCCCTGGCTGCTGTCCTCAGACTGTATCCAGGTGGATCCCCCCGAGAAGCCCCCTGTACCCCCCAGCGACGCTCTCACCCTCTTGGAGGACAGCAGCTCCAGTTACAAGAACCTCACGCTCAAATTCCACAAGTACTGCCTGTTCACTCGCTTGAGGGGCTGGAGGGGCTGAGGGCCTCGGGCTGGGGGTGGGACAGGAGTGCCAGGCTCTCTGATCGGGAACCCCCACTTCCCTGTGGGCGGGATGGGCCCCCCATGCTGGAACTGCTGGCATTTCCTCTGGGGGCTGCAGAGTCGACCTGTGGGGCGGGAGGTGCTGGGGGCGCTGTTCCTTGGGCTGGGAGTTTCCGGCCTGGCCCCTCATCCGAGCCTCCCCTTAGGCTGATCAACGTCACCATCCACTTCCAGCTGAAGACCATCAACCTGCAGAGCCTCATCAACAATGAGATCCCCGACTGCTACACCTTCACCATCCTGGTGAGGACCCTACCTCCACTCGGGGTGGGTGCCTGGGGAGCACAGATCGAAGGCAGCCACGGGGGGGTGACAGGCCAGGTAGACCATCCGGTGTGCAGGTCTGGGGAACTCAGGGTGGGATGCCGAGGTCCAGTCTCCCTTGCACCCCCTGCAGATCACGTTTGACAACACGGCACATAGTGGGCGGATCCCCATCGGCCTGGAGACCCAGGCCCACATCCAGGAGTGTAAGCACCCCAATGTCTCCAGACACGGTGAGCCCTGAGCCATGTGGGCCTCCTCTGGGCCTCAGGCCAATGCTGACCAGGGGCCCGACCTGCCCGGGGATTCCCCAGATCAGCAGTGACCAGGGCTCCTGACTCCCTGACCCCGACCCCAAGGAACCCCCAAGCCCACTGACCAGTCAGTACCGGCCATGCCAGCCAGGCAGGATGGCGCACCCAGGCCATCCCAGCACTGGGGAGGCTGAGGCAGGAGGACTGCTGTGAGTTCAAGGTCAGCCTGAGCTCCGTAGTGAGTTCAAGGCCAGCCTGGACTACGCAGTGAGACCCACACAAAATTTAAGAGCCAGCTATGCAGCCCCTAGGTCTCCAGTCCCAGCCTCCTTGGTCCTAGTCACCACCCCTCCCCGCAGAAGACAACAGTTTCCGGCTGCTGTTCGATGTGGCAGTCATCCTCACTTGCTCCCTGTCCTTCCTGCTGTGCGCCCGCTCTCTGCTCCGTGGCTTCCTGTTGCAGAAGGTGAGGCTGTGAGGCCAGAGGTCGGAGGGTCCGGAGCCTGGGCAGGAGACCCCTTGTCCCATGTCCGTTGGCAGGAGTTCGTGGGGTTCATGTGGCGGCAGCGGGGACGGGCGATCAGCCTGTGGGAGCGGCTGGAGTTTGTCAACGGCTGGTACATCCTGCTGGTCACCAGCGACGTGCTCACCATGTCGGGCACCGTCATGAAGATAGGCATCGAGGCCAAGGTGGGCCCCGGGCAGGGCTTGGCCAGGGCCCCTGCTGCCTTGTCCAGCGCCACGCCTCTCGGAGGCCACAGACCGCCGAGCAGAGCTGGGGGACAAATGGGATGACATCTCTCCCACCCCCAGAACCTGGCCAGCTACGACGTGTGCAGCATCCTCCTGGGCACCTCCACACTGCTGGTCTGGGTGGGCGTCATCCGCTACCTGACCTTCTTCCACAAGTACAACGTGAGCCTCGCTGTCCTGTGCCCCCCAAATAAACCACCCCCTCCCCGAAAAGCAGTCCCCAGTCCCTGGCGATGGCCGGTCATGCGCCTCTGTGTACCTGCCCAGACATACCTGTGCCTGCACCTACAGGGCCATGGGCGCCTCCTCTCTCAGCCCACCCCCAGCTGTGGGCTCCTCACACCCCACGGCCCCCCGGGACATCTGGGTCAGTGCCCCTCTCTCCACGCCCACGGGTCCCGCCTCTTCCGGCCTTCAGCGGGGCCCCTCTGCCCCCGCCAGATTCTCATCGCCACGCTGCGGGTGGCGCTGCCCAGCGTGATGCGCTTCTGCTGCTGCGTGGCCGTCATCTACCTGGGCTACTGCTTCTGCGGCTGGATCGTGCTGGGCCCCTACCACGTGAAGGTACGGGCGGCCAAGGCCGGGGAGCTGCAGTCGGGTGCCTGGCACCCCTCCCGCGAGTGCGCCTCTGCCCCCGCCAGATTCTCATCGCCACGCTGCGGGTGGCGCTGCCCAGCGTGATGCGCTTCTGCTGCTGCGTGGCCGTCATCTACCTGGGCTACTGCTTCTGCGGCTGGATCGTGCTGGGCCCCTACCACGTGAAGGTACGGGCGGCCAAGGCCGGGGAGCTGCAGTCGGGTGCCTGGCACCCCTCCCGCGAGTGCGCGCGAGCCGAGTCCTCCGCACTCTGGTGGCCCCATGACACACCCAGTACTGTGCCTCTGGCGGTGTGCTCGCTGTCCCCGGTGGGGGGCGCTCTGACCCGCCTTCCCGCCGCCCCCAGTTCCGCTCGCTGTCCATGGTGTCCGAGTGCCTCTTCTCGCTCATCAACGGGGACGACATGTTCGTGACGTTCGCGGCCATGCAGGCGCAGCAGGGCCGCAGCAGCCTGGTGTGGCTCTTCTCCCAGCTCTACCTCTACTCCTTCATCAGCCTCTTCATCTACATGGTGCTCAGCCTCTTCATCGCGCTCATCACCGGCGCCTACGACACCATCAAGGTCAGCCGGGGCTTCCGGAGTGGGAGTCCGTGCTCGGGAGCCCCAGGAACGTGTGGGACACGCTGCAGAGGCCAGGAAGGGGCGGCTCGAACTGGGGTCCACGGGTGGGACAGATGCTGTCCAGCTCTGGCAGCGGGGGCTTTCTCACAGCCTGAGGGGCGTCCGAGAGAAAGCGAGAGAAAGCAGTTTAGCCAGTGGACCAGGGAGTGTGCAGGGCCACGCTCTGTGCTGGGCCCCGGGCACCGAGGAAGATAAGGCCAGTGGCGAGATGGATGACACAGGATGGACAGCCAGTGGCCGGTGACTGGCTGGAGACAGGAAGGAAAGAAGTGTTGAAGGTTCCCGTCTTGGTCACTTTCCTCATCGCTGAAACAAAGTACCCAACTGTAACTTAAACGATGGTTTATTTTGCCTCATGTTTCCGAAGGTGCAGTCCTGTGTAGTCAGCAGGCCCCAGGCGTGGTGGAAAGGCCTGGGCGGAAGAGGGCGGCTCACATCATGGCAGCCGGGAAGCAGAAAGAAGGAAGGAGATATAGGCCCTGCCAAACCACGCCCCAGTGGCCCACCCTTTCTGACCGGGCCCTGCCTCCACACAGCCCATTAAGCTGTAGCAGCCCCACGATTCAGTCATTAGCTTTGATGTGTGAGGCTTTGGAGGGCGTGAGGCTTTCTAGCTGTAAACCATAATTGCTGTTCTAGGATGAGTCCAGGAAAGCTTCTAGTATGTTCTGTCCCTGAGGCACCTCCAGACGCATGGGGCTGTTTAAAATGGGACTTGGGCTCAGGGGTTCTGCCATCTGCTTTGCAAGCACAGAGTCCCAAGTTCAATCCCTGGTACAAATTTTTAAAAAAAGAAATTGGACTTGATTTAAAATGAAATTCAGCTGCTTGCTCTCAGCCATCCACATAACAAGTCCCGGAAAGCTGATACGGCAAGCAGCCGCCACCCACATTAGCTTGGGTCAGCAATGGCAAACCTGTTAGCTTTCTGTGAAAAACCTTCCACTGGCACACGTGCTTAGGTTGGCCACCACTGGGTTAGAAAGTGGAACGGTCCCATCATGTCCCAGAGTTCACTGAAGAGATGGGAGTCTAAGGGACAGCACTCACGGGGGAGGGAAATGCAAAGCAAAAACCCTACTAGCCAGGAAGGACTCAGAGAAAAGGGAGCTTAAGAGGGGGAGGCTTTGCTGGGGTCCTGCCCCATCCTGTCCCTGGCAGATGTGGGTCCCCCCCACCCTCCGTGCATGGACAGAGCCATCCACAGAGGAATGACTGTCCCTTAGGCCTGGGAGCCACCTGGTCTTAACCTAGTACTCAGATGTCCACCCGGAGTCCAGCCACTCCATCATTACTAAGCACCTGGGTTGTGTGAGGCCCTGTTGCAGAGGGCACCAAATTGACAGAGATGAGGCCTGTGGCCATATTCAGGAGTCAGGAAAGGGTTCTCTGTGTAAGCAGAGCAAATGAACAAGAGGCGGGTGTAGCAAGTGCAAAGGCCCTGAGGTCTGAGTCTGCCTGGCAGTGGGAGGAGCAGCAAGGAGATCCACGTGGCAGGACCGACTTCAAGGGGCCTTTCATGTGGGGGCCTCCTGGTGTCTCTCCCCAGCACCCTGACGGTGCAGGTGCAGAGAAGACTGAGCTCCAGGCTTACATCGCACAGTGCCAGGACAGCCCCACCTCTGGCAAGTTCCGCCGCGGGAGCGGCTCAGCCTGCAGCTTGCTGTGCTGCTGTGGAAGGTTCGCATCTGGGTCCGGTTAAGGATGGGGGAGGGGAGCATGCTAGAGGAAACTGACCGCCCTGCCTCCCTCCTCCAGGGAGGCCTCAGAAGACCATGCACTGCTGGTGAACTGAATGGACCGCCTCTGCCCTGACCTCATCCCTTGGACTGTGGCACCCCACTTATTTATTTTTTAGAATTTGCTTTTAAAGGTCGACTGCCTGCCACTGCCAGTCGGGTCGGACACTGGGGAGGGTAGGGGAGAATAGGGTGGGTGTTAATAAACGGGAAAAGAAACTTGTTTTCATTTCTAATGGGAAGGGCAGCTCTCGCGCCAGTGGGTCGTCGGCCCCTTTAAGATGCTGCCGCACTCAGCATGGCTGGCTAAATGCAACCTTCCTAGCAAGGAAGGGGGTGGGGCTGGGGCGCGCCCTGCGGCGAATAATTTAAAGGGGCCGCGCCTGGGTCCCCGGGAGGAAAGCTAGCGGTGTTGGCACGGAGTGGACCTTGGCCGCGGCTCCTAGGTGAGTCCGGGTTTCCATTGGCCCAGCAGGGGCATCTTTTCTATGTTCGTTAGACAGCTTCCTCATTCCCAAGATCTAGCCTTTGATTCCTGGTGGTGCCCGACTTCCTGATATTCCCATCCCCCCACCCCCCGTTCCTTGCTGAGGTTTCCGCACCGGCAGCAGGTGTGTCCTGGAGTGAAGGCGGCATTTACTTAGGAACGTGTCGAGTGGCGTTTATGGCCCAGCGACTACCCTTTACTATTGCGGTGGTGCCAGAAACAGCTTAGACGTCCCAGGAAAGTCCCAGTAATATTCCGCATGCCCCAGTATCTCAGCACTACCCACCCAGCCCCCGGTTTCCCTACTAGTGACCCGGCCTTCAGGATCTCTCAGTAACTCCAGAGTCCCGGGTTACACCTCCCAGCCATGGCGCCAGCATCTCTCCTGGGGCACGGCCAAAGACGTCATGACTTTCCCGTTCCGGGATAACCCCCAGCCGAAACCGACACCCTGAGCCCACCCCACTCCGAGCTTGCCAGGACTCAGTAGTGCTGAGGCCTCGGTATTTCTCCAGGGTCCCTTCCTTGGGTGCCCCGGCTCCCGGGTCCTCCAGGCGGGATGAGTCGGGAGCCACGCATCCCGCTGCGCTCCCAAACTCTTGGCTGGCGGGCCGATTTCCTGAGGTGGGGCATCTAGTCTGCAGGGGCCAGGGAGGGGACCGTGCCTGCGGGGTGTCCGGACCGCTACCCGTTGGCGCCGGGGTGAGGTCGGACGGGCGGGGCGTCTGGGCGACCCTGTGTGTAGGTGAAGGGTGCCAAGGGTCAGGGGACTCGCCTCACCCCCTGGCCCCGGCCGGAAGGTCAGTTTGCTCCACGCCTCTCTAGCTCTCGCATATCCCTATATAGCGGTGGGCCAACCCACCCAGCGCAAATGGAGAAGCAGCCCACGCCGCAGGTACCCAGGGGCGGGGCTTGCTAAAGCGTATGGGGCTGGATTGAGGGGTGGGGCCTGTTGCAGGTACCCGGCAGGCCTAGATTGACAATTTGCACGGGGTTCCGCTTCACTTGATTCCCTAGGACTGCGGGCTATCACATCTACTGCCCGGTTCGAAGCTACCGATGGAGGCCCCGCTGCAAACTGGGATGGTAAGAAGTGGGAGTGTGCAAAGGACTACAACTCCCGGCGTGCCGAGCGCGCACCGTCGGAATGTCGCGAGAACGGAGTTTTCCCTGTTCCGGTTGAACTACATTTCCCGGCGTGCAGCGCGAGCCGCCGAGTCTCTGGAAAGCGTCGTCCCCCCCCCCGAGGGAGTAGAGCTGTCCCATTCTGCAGATGAGGACACCAAGTCATGAGATGAATGCGACCTTCCCGGGGGCGGAAATAATGGTCCCGGGATCCCAGGACGTCGTGGCCCCCGAGGAGGGCTCGGCGGGACGGATGTGCGGTTCACAGCCAGTGCCGTTCATCCCTCAGGTGCTGGGCGTGATAATCGGGGCCGGAGTGGCGGTTGTGGTGACCGCCGTGTTCATCCTCCTGCTGGTGCGGAGGCTGCGAGTACCGAGTGAGGACCCGGGGCCCCTCGGGGGAGGCTAGGGGCGGGGAGCCGAGATGTTGGGTTCCCTGAAGCCCTGGGGGTGGGGATCTGCTGGAGTCTGCGCAGAGCTCAGAGCAGCCCTGTCCTCCCTTGTCCCCAGAAACCCCAGCCCCGGATGGCCCGCGGTATCGGTTCCGGAAGAGGGACAAAGTGCTTTTCTATGGCCGGAAGATTATGCGGAAGGTGAATCCGGGAGCCCCTGCGGACCACGCAGAGGCCCCGCCCCTTCCCTGTTTACACTTCTTAGTGGGCATCTCCAGCCTTGATGCAGGGCCCTGGATCTGGCTCTCCTCTCTCCCCGAGTGACCCATCCTCCCCTCATTCTCCCAGGTGTCACAGTCCACTTCCTCTCTGGTGGACGCCTCCGTCTCCACCGCTTCCCGGCCACGCATGAAGAAGAAACTTAAGATGCTGAACATTGCCAAGAAGTAAGGCTGTACTGTGTGTACCTGGCGCTGGGGAACATTTCAGGGGTCTTTTAAGTCATCAGCCCACACCGAACTGTGTATCTCGGGATTCTTTGAACCCCACGAACTGTCCGGATTCTTCTTCGCATGTCAGAGGCACATCTCCAGGCTGGCCTGAGAGCCAACTCAGAGCTCTCCTATACCACAGGCCATCTCTGGGGTCTCTGACCCCTGCGGCCTGCCTCAGTGCTACTCCCCTACCACAGGGCTATTCTGAAGATTAGTTACTCTATAGAGAGAGGGCTGCACCTGGAGTCTCCCCACATTACAGGGTTTTTTCTAGGGACCCTACTAGGGGAGATCATAGATGTTTCTGTGACTGCCAGAAGAACCACTCTGGCTTCCATTCTGCAGGAGTTACAAAGACCTCAGCAATCTTTCTGTAGCACAAGGCAGCTCAAACACTGAAAACATAGGAAAGACATCTTAGGGGTCCTCATCAACAGCGAAAGGCTGCATCGTGGGGTTTCTTCCCACCAGGGGGTCATACTAGGACTCTCCAGGACCAGCCAGGGTGCCCCGGGTCTTTCTCTTGATCTCAGTGGAAGTGCTGTCTCTCGGTTTTTCTCAGCCAGTGGAGAGTCTGCGTCTCACAGGTGTTAGTCCCTAGTGTCTGTGCACTCTCGAGGAGCCACCCTGCTGTCTCAGTGACTGTAAAAGGGCTGTCCTGGGGCCAGCTCTATGACCTCTGGGAAGGGCTCACCCAAGATCTCCCCGATGAGAGTTATATCTGGATTGCTCTGCGTCACTGAGTTGGATTCATCACTGAGTTTAATCTGCTCATGCTAGAGGGTCTGCCTCAGGGACTTTGTGCTAGTGGAGCGGCTTTCTCGGTGGTCACTTTGACTTGTGGGGGAAGGGGTGTGCAGGTGATTAGCAGAGGTGCTATTATCTGGATTCTTTGCATGTAATAATACCAACCTCAGGGATCCCTGTGGCCATCAGAGGGGCTGTCTCAGGCTTCATTGAGACTGAAGAGGAAGGGCTATCTCAAGGACCTTTTTGCCCTCTTTTTATCTTTTTTTTTTTTTTCTCCAACATCTCAGGTGTCTTTACAAAAATATATATCTAGGGCCAGGAATTTAGCTCAGTGGTGCCCACACCTGCCTTGCAAACACAAGGTCCTGAGTTTGATCGCCGGTACCAAAACAAACAAGCACCCAAAAAGCAACATGCTATATCTAGAGTCTTCAGGTAGAGTCTTCAGATAGAGTCTTCAGAAGAAACCTGAGCATGTCCCTGTGAGGGACACTATCTTTTGTGACTACTAAAAAGACTGCTTCAGGGCTCTGGTGTTTTTTGGTTTTGGGGGTTTTTTGTTTTTTGTTTTTTTTCAGCACCAGGGATCAAACTCAGGACCTTGCGCTTGCAATGCAGGCATGGTAGCACTGACGTAAATTCCCAGTCCTGGTGGTGGCTTTTGTTTGTTTGTTGTGGGGTTTTTTTTGGTTTTGTTTTTGTTTTTGAGACAGGGTCTTGCTGTGTTGCTGTGTAATTCGGGCTGACCTTGAACTCACTGTGTAGCCCAGGCTGTCCTCAAATTTGCTGCAATCCTCTTGTCTCAGCCTTCCAAATGCTAGGATTATAGGTGTGCACACAACTACTTGACTTTGCCATTGTATTACAAAAGCCACAGCGGATGCTGTGCAAATGAATGAATGTGGGAGCATGCCAATAAAACTTTATTTAGAAAAATAACTAGAGGGCCTGATTTGGCTAGTGGGCCAGAATTTGCTCTATGAATGGAAGAAAGGGCTATGTGGGGGTCCTGTTTGCCTGAGCCCTCTCCTTGCCATCTCTCCCCCTCCTCTTCCCTCCAGGATCCTGCGCATCCAGAAGGAGACCCCAACCCTGCAGCGGAAGGAGCCCCCACCCTCAGTGCTGGAGGCTGACCTGACAGAGGGCGACCTGGCCAACTCCCACCTGCCCTCTGAGGTGCTCTATATGCTCAAGAATGTCCGGTCAGTGCTGGAGGGTGTGGGCAGTATGGGGGTGCCCTGCGGAGCTGGGGGGTGCCCCGATCTCCTGCGTCACCACCCCACTGCCCTCCGCCAGGGTGCTGGGCCACTTCGAGAAGCCGCTTTTCCTGGAGCTGTGTCGGCACATGGTCTTCCAGAGGCTTAGCCAGGGCGACTACGTCTTCCGCCCGGGCCAGCCAGACGCCAGCATCTATGTGGTGCAGGACGGGCTGCTGGAGCTCTGCCTTCCAGGGCCGGTGAGTGGGCCCCGCTAGGAGCGGGGAGCTACGGCCAGACCCTGCTGCTGGTCAGCGGGGAGCAGTGGTCCCTGGGGTTGTGGAGTCAAGCGTCAGAGGAGGGAGACTCTTCGGGGTGCCTCGGGACGCTCAGTGGTCACAGTGAGGTACAGGAAACAGTTGCTGGCCAGGAGGTTTGGGCCCAGGGTCACAGGGTGAGGGCAGCCCTGGCCACGTTCCCTCATGTCTCAGGATGGGAAAGAGTGTGTTGTGAAGGAAGTGGTCCCCGGGGACAGCGTCAACAGCCTCCTGAGCATTCTGGACGTCATCACGGTAAGTACCCGGTGCATGGCACAGAAAGCTGGGGCTGGAGGCTGGAGGTTGGGATAGTAGGACCCCGGGGACTCAGCTCTGATCAGTTGTAAAGGCTCAGGCACCAGTAGGGGATGGGGGAGCCCTTGACCGTCTCTCTCCTTTTCCGCCCTCCCTAGGGCCACCAGCATCCCCAGCGGACAGTGTCAGCCCGGGCAGCCCGGGACTCCACGGTGCTGCGGCTTCCGGTGGAGGCCTTCTCCGCTGTCTTTACCAAGTACCCAGAGAGCTTGGTGCGGGTGGTGCAGGTCAGAGAGCCTTTGGCCTCCCTCCCCGCAGCAGGGGCCATTCCACCCGTGCCAGGCATCGGTCAGCAGGCGCTGGAGCTGTGGTTATCGCTGGTGAACAGCCGGCCTTCCCCAGGGCTGTTGGCTGGGCCCCATTTCTCCAGATACTGGGCTTCTCCCAGGCTCCCCTCTGGCCCCGCCCACACACTAGCCCCGCCCACCTGGCTGCTCCCACATCTGACCCCGCCCCTTCACTGACCCCTCCCTCGCACCCTGCAGATCATCATGGTGAGGCTGCAAAGGGTCACCTTCCTGGCCCTTCACAACTACTTGGGTCTGACCAACGAGCTCTTCAGCCACGTGAGTTGGGGGCAGTCGAGGCCAGGCCAAGGGGGTGTCGGGCAGGATGGGACCACAGGGTCAGGCCTCAGGCTGCTCCTTACACCCCCGCAGGAGATCCAGCCCCTTCGCCTGTTCCCCAGCCCTGGCCTCCCATCCCGGACCAGCCCCGTGCGAGGCTCCAAGCGGGTGGTCAGCACCTCAGCCACTGAGGAACCCAGAGAGACCCCGGGCCGGCCGCCTGACCCCACCGGGGCCCCACTGCCTGTACCTGCAGATAACAGAGGTGACTTCTGCCTGCCCGGCTGGCCTCCTGCCAGTCACCTCGGCCCTGCCCAGCCCCTGGGGGCACCCAGACCTGCGTCTTGCCCCTGGGATCCCAGCCCTCAGCCCCAAGGAACCCTTGGCACTGCTTTTCCTAGCCCCCTGGTCCCTACCCTCTGCTCCTGTCCCTAGTCCTGTGAACTCTGCTGGGAGGAGCCTGAGCCTTTGTCTCCCCCAGGGGACCCCATAAAGCCCACCTCCCTGGAAGCCCCCACAGCCCCTGTGCTGAGCCGCTGCATCTCCATGCCGGTGGACATCGCAGGTTTGGAGCATGGGGGCTGCGGGGAGGGCATGGGGAGAGGACCCGGAGCGGCCGGCCTTCAGCCCAGCTGCTGCCTGTCCGGTTTTCTTCTGTGCAGATGGTGCTTCTTCCCGCCGTCTTTGCTGGCGTTTGCGGAGGTGCCTTCTCCCCTCCTCTGGAGGCGGAGTGTGCGCAGGGATCGCTTGTGCCTGCCGTGGCTGTGGCCCTTGGCATGTGGTTGGGTTGCGGTCCTGTCACCTCGCTGTTTTCATTGCCGCTGTCCTCCCACAGGCTTGCAGGGTGGCCCCCGCTCAGACTTCGACATGGCCTACGAGCGCGGCCGCATCTCCGTGTCCCTACAAGAGGAGGCTTCCGGGGGACCCGGAGTGTGCGCAGGGATCGCTTGTGCCTGCCGTGGCTGTGGCCCTTGGCATGTGGTTGGGTTGCGGTCCTGTCACCTCGCTGTTTTCATTGCCGCTGTCCTCCCACAGGCTTGCAGGGTGGCCCCCGCTCAGACTTCGACATGGCCTACGAGCGCGGCCGCATCTCCGTGTCCCTACAAGAGGAGGCTTCCGGGGGACCCCCACCTACCAGGGCCGCCAGACCAGCAGCATCTTCGAGGCAGCCAAGCGGGAGCTGGCGAAGCTGATGCGGATCGAGGTGGGTGGCCGAGGGGGCGGCTGGGGCGGGAGAGCGGGGCCTGGTTGGGCCTCTCAACCCCGCTCCCTCTCCAGGACCCCTCGCTGCTCAACAGCCGGGTCTTGCTGCACCACGCCAAGGCTGGCACCATCATCGCCCGCCAGGGGGACCAGGTAAGGCTGACCCCGGGAGCTCTAACCTGCAGCCTGAGCTTGCTCCCTCTGACCCCTGGCCTTTGATGTGGCGTCTGACCCTTTCTCTCCATATGGGCCGACCTCTTATCCTATGACTTACAAACAACCCCGAGTGTTGGGTTGTTGTGATCTTTATCCCTCACTTCCACCCCAGGTCCTCTGAAAGGAGCAGATCTTAACTTGTAACCACTGAACTTCTAAATCTATTTTTTGTTTTTGGTACTAGCATTGAACATAGGAGTACTCTACCCCTGAGGTCTACCCCCAGCCATATTAATTTTATTTATGGTAGTGGGAGCTAAACCCAGGGCCTTTGCACTGAACTATAATCCTTGGCAGTTTTTTGTTTGTTTTTTTAAGTCAGGGTCTTGCTAAGGCACTGAGTTGCCCAGGCTGGGCTTGGACTCATGATCCTCCTGCCTCAGCCTCCCAGAGTGCTAGGATTACAGGCACAGATGTTTTTACCTCCATGCCCAGCCCAGATGTTTGTTTGTTTTTTTATCTTGAGACCAGCTTTTGCCCAGGCTGGGCTCATACCTGTGCTTCTCCTACCTCAGCCTCCTGCATAGTTGGGATTACAAGCATGAGCCACTACCGAGGTCCCCTTGGTCTCTCCTGTGGCATTTATTACCTGACCTTTTGACCCAACAATATATCCTGTTATTCTGTTGATTCCAGCACTGGCTCCCAGCAGGTATGAACGGCAATCAGGACCTGATACCAGGAGCCTACCCTGGTGACAGTGGTTCTGAGCCTCCTGGCAGGACCCAGAGGTGTGGGGAAGTGTAGCCTGCCCACCCCCGAATCTCATGGGGGAAACTGAGGCCCACTGAGGTCTGGCCTTCATCTCAAAGCCCTGAGGCATAGAGGAGGAGTTCTGCAGCAGGCGGCACAGAGTCAGAATCAGGCTCTGTCTGAACTCCCTGTGTGATGTTAGCTGTAGGATTTAGAAAGTTCCAGGTTTCCTCATCTGTGGAGTGGAGGTGCAGAAGGTTTGCGGAGGTGACAGGCCTGGGAGAGAAAGTTTAGAGGTAGCATCCAGCCTGGAGGACCCGGGGTGACCCAGCAACGTGAGAGGCACAGAGACCCCAGCACCGCCTCTGGGTGATGGAGCTGGGAGCAACCCTGACACCCTCCCATGCTGCTCACCTCTCAGGGCAAGGCCTGTGCACTTTGTTCTGGGTGCTCAGGGACAGGCTGAGGAAGTTGGGTTATGCTGGGGTCCACACAGGCCTCCTGGGATTTTGTGAGCTTCATTAGGGACCCATGATCTCTAGTTCTCTCCAAAAGTTTATACCGGGGGTTCGCAACTACCAGGTGATTTTGCATCCTCCCCCCACAGGTACATTTGCCAACATTGAGACATTTTCAATTGTCACAACTTGGGAGTGTGTTTCCAGCACCCAGTTGGAAGAGGTGAAGCAGACTAGAATGACCAGGGCAGCCAGGTGTGGTGGTGCACACCTGTAATCCCAGCACTGGGGAGGCTGAGGCAGGAGAGTTGCTGTGAATTCAAGGTCAGCCTGGGCTACATAGTAAGGCTGTCTCAAAAACCTGAAGGAGAAAAGAAAAAGATTAAAGAATGCCCAGAGCAGTACAAAGAATTATCCAATCCAAAATGTCTAGGCCAGCAGCTCAGTGGTAGAGCACATATTTAGCATATATGAGGCCTGGGCTTCCACCCCAGCACCATGAAAAAAAGAAAAAGTCCCAGTAGGGTTAACACCGAGAAATCATGCTTTACACAGACACATCTCCAGACGTGTTTCATGGGATATCGGTATGGGCTGAGCATCCCTGTCAGAAAAATCTAAAATCCTAAAAGCTCCGAAATAGAAACTTTCTGAGCACTGACCCGATGGTACACGGGTACCCCAAATGCAATCCAGAACTCCTGACTGAGGAGGGCCCAAGTGTCTCGGTAGGGCTGGGGCTGGGTCCCACTCAGGGGTCCCTCGCGGTGCCCTGTGGGTAGAGCTTTGGCAGGTGACGTGGGTTGGGGTGGTAGGGGCAGGCTGGCTCCATCTCGGTACAGTTTCCGTTCCTTATTTAGGGAAGCCAGCTAAGCAGGAGAAAGAAATCTTGGTTTCCCAAGCACTGGCTGCATCCAGACCCTGTGTAGCTTGCTGGGTAGAGGCGAGAAAAACCAGTATGATCCCTGCTCTGTAATGTGTGCAGTGCTCACACAGGTGACCCAAAAGGGTCATCGGTTCCTGTAAAGTCCGGAGGGTGGAGCTGTTCTTGGAATCACAAAGCCAGGGCTACTGGTTGAAGCCGAGTGGCGCCCTAAGTGCACGACCTCTAGTTGAGGAGGAGGAAGAATTAACTGGGTGTAACCAGGAGAGAGTTTGTTCTAGGCAGGGAGCAGCTTGTGGAAGTGTCCTGTGGTGAGCGCTTGCCTAGCATATGTAAGGCCCTGGGTTCAACCCTCAGCCCCACCTTCACCCACACACACGGAGAGCAATTTTTAAAACGTCCCATGGTGAGAAGAAACATGCCGATCTCTAGGAAACAAAAGGAAGCCATCGGTATCGAGTGGAATGACGGCAGAGGGGCAAAGAGGACCATTTGAGGGGGAATCATAGTAATGAGATGCGATCCACACCCCTTGCAATGCACCCACTTAAAGTGGTGTTTTACTTTCACTGAGTTGGGCGACCCAAGTACTGCAATTTTAGAACATCTTTATCGCCTTGAAAGGCAATCCCATCCCTTTAGCTGCCAGCCTCCTACCTCCTAGGCCCCGCAGCTCTGGGCATCCATAGAAATAGAGATGTTTTCACCAGGTGTGGTGGCGCATGTCTGTCATCCCAGCACTAGGAGGCTGAGGCAGGAGGATCGCTGGGAGTTCGAGACCAGCCAGGGCTACATAGTGAGTTCCAGGTCAGTCTCAACAACATAGTAAGACCCTGTCTCAAAAAACCAAAAAAGAAAAAAAAGAAATGGAGATGTTTCTATCTCTGTGGCTGTGCTGCTGTGGGCTTTCCATGGAGGTGGTCACAGCGTGTGGCTTTCTGTGGGAGCCGTACCTTCAGGGTGTACCCTTGTGTTGGCGCGTCTCCTCTGAGGCTGACAGACCCATTGCATGGGTGGCTGCCGTGTTTATCCATGTCTCTCTAGATGGACATCTGTTTCCACCTTTTTGGCAGTTGTGAATAATGCTTCTGCAAACACGTACATACAAGTCCAAGTTTCGGCTTGGACATGTCTGCACTTTGTTCAGTTACAGACTTTAGAGTTGAACTGTATGTAGAGCTGTACTTTGAATTTTGGGGGACTGTTTTTTAACTTTTTCCAGAGCAGCTGCAGCAATTTGATATCCCTGTCCCCTGTGTATGAGGCGGCCCAATTTTTCACATTCTCCACACTTGTTTTTTTTTTTTTTTGTTAAATCAGGGATTGAACTCAGGTCCTTGTGCTTGTGAGGCAGGCAGCAGCACCACTGAGCTAAACCCCGGCCCCACGCTTGTTCATTCTAACCGTCCTTTTGGGCATGAGGTGACATCTTGTGGTTTTGGTTCACATTTCCCTGAGGACTCCTGATTTTGAGCACAGTTGCATGCTTGTACTGGGCCACCTGTGCTTCAAACAAGTGGTGCAGATCCTCAGCTGGTTTTGTTTTGTTTTTTTGAGACAGGGTCTCACTATGTCGTTGAGACTGACCTGGAACTCACTATGTAGCCCAGGCTGGTCTCGAACTCCCAGCGATCCTCCTGCCTCAGCCTCCCGAGTGCTGGGATGACAGGCGTGCGCCAGCGCGCCTGGCTCTCAGCTGGTTTTGTAATTGGATTTTGTGTCTTTTTATTATCACATGGTAGCGAGTCTTTATGTACCTAGTTCTGGACCCTGGTCAGATATAGGAATTGCAGATATTTTTCCTCCCGTTCCATGGGCTGTTCTTGCTTGCAAGTGTACTTTTATTTTCTTTTAAGTATTTTTCTTAGTCCATGTTTGCAGCACAAAGCCTACACTGCTCGCGAGGCGTCGTGCACATCTGCAACACATCTGGGGCCCCTTCCTTCATCCCTTTCCCCTCCCTCCCCCACTCCATCTCTTGATCCCTTTCCTATTGAGAAGGATCTAGTTCATTTTGCCTATCTGTTTTTCTTTTTTGGCTCTGTATTTATAATTTGAGTTTTTATCATAAGAATCTGTATGATATTTAATCTCATTTCACGTAACATTATATCCTCACAGTGCATGCATTGTCCTACAAATGACTCATTTGTCTTGTTTTTGTTTGTTTTTTTTTTTGTACCAGGGATCAAACTCAGGTCTTTGTGATTGCAAGGCAGGCGGCGGAACCACTGAGCTAAATTCCCAGCCTGATTTAGCTGTTATAAATTGTGTTGTTATAAACATGGGAATGTGTGTACCACTGTAATACAATGCTCTTAATTCTTTGGGGAAGATACCTAGAAGGGGAAGGTCTGGGCCATCTTGATGAAGTCTTATTTCTTTCTGATATGGTTGCTAGTGCCTTATGGTGGCATCTGTGAGGGCCCACTGCCAAATTCAGTGTCACAGGAGTCCGCCATCTTATTTTCTTCGAAGGGTGCGATAGTTTTAGTTCTTGTAATAGTATCTCTGGTCCATTTGGCAGAGCGTGAGATGAGTTTGACCCCCTTCTTTGCCAGGTGTTCATCTACTTATGTAACCAAAGAGGGTTTTACGCTCAGCGAGGCCCCTGTGTAGTTTTGGCAGAGGGGGCGCTGGAGCCCAAGTCCTCAAGCGCATCAGGCAAGCGCTCTGCCACTGAGCCACCCCCTGGCTCTCCGTAGGTGGTTTTCACAGCCCCCTGCTGGCTGTTCTGAAGAGAACTCGAGGCCCTTCATCTCGGCTTAGCGTTTGCTCATCGGTACTAATGTCAGTTCTGGGTGCTGCCGCAGAAACACACATATGTGCAGTTCTCCAGTCTGCAGGCTCACATGGATTCGGCCAACAAAGATGAAAAATGTAGTCAGGCCTTTGATAGGTGTGTGTCAGGAGCACGTGGGAGCTGGTCCCTTGGTAATTATGTAATGTAAACATGGCGTTTGCATTATACTGCCACTGTCAGTCACCCAGCGACTATGTAAAGCCTGTGGGAGGATGTGAGTGTGTTTGATGCAGCTACTACACACCTTTTATTTGGGGCCCTTGAGGCTCTGGTGCCCACAGGGGTCCCAGACCCAGTCACTGATGGGTCCCAAGGGAAGACCATACATTGCTCATATGCAAAATCTTCAACTTTCCAGGCCAGGGATTTAGCTCAGTGATTCCAGCACCTGCCTCACAAGCGCAAGGTCCTGAGTTGGATCCCTGGTACCAAAACAAAAAGCCCCTTCAGCTTTCCTTTTCCTCGCCCTGCCTGAAAGCCTGTCTCCTTTCATCCTCGCCCTCCCTTCCTCCTCCTCGCAGGACGTGAGCCTGCACTTCGTGCTGTGGGGCTGCCTGCACGTGTACCAGCGCATGATCGACAAGGCGGAGGACGTGTGCCTGTTCGTGGCGCAGCCCGGGGAGCTGGTGGGACAGCTGGCGGTGCTCACCGGCGAGCCCCTCATCTTCACCCTGCGTGCCCAGCGTGACTGCACCTTCCTGCGGATCTCCAAGTCTGACTTCTATGAGTACGAGACTGGGCCTCGGTTGGGGGAGGCCCAGGGAGACCTCGGAAGAGGCCACACACCCCTGTCCCCTCAGAAATGGCCTCCCGAGTTTGAGTCTTTCTTCTTTGGTCTCCCAGCCAGCACCTACTTTCTCCACTCCCTCTGGAGAGTTCCCGAAAGGCTCCCAGCCCACGCACCCCTCCCGCTCCCACAGGATCATGCGTGCGCAGCCCAGTGTGGTCCTCAGCGCAGCGCACACGGTGGCCGCCAGGATGTCGTCCTTCGTGCGCCAGATGGACTTCGCCATCGACTGGACGGCAGTGGAGGCCGGACGCGCCCTGTACAGGTGCAGTCCTGACTCCTACCTCGCTTCTCAGCTCCTGCCTAGGACAAGGACCCCTACTTGGCCTGACCGCCCCCACTTCACCCCCCAGGCAGGGCGACCGCTCTGACTGCACCTACATTGTGCTAAACGGGCGGCTGCGCAGCGTCATCCAGCGGGGCAGCGGCAAGAAGGAGCTGGTGGGGGAGTATGGCCGCGGGGACCTCATTGGAGTGGTGAGCCGGAGTCCCCCCCGCTGACCTCTGATCTCTCCCAGCCGCCCCCTCCAGCATCCCTGGTAATCTGTAATCTGACAGAGTGGCGAGTGCATCCCACCTGGTCCTCTTCCGGGGCTCCTTTCCATGGGGACTGGGGGTGGGGGGCATGGGGTGATGAGCCTGGTCTGAGTCGGCCCTCAAGGCCTATTTAGACTCTTCATGCAAAGAGGGGAGCCCTTCCTGTTATGGATTCCTGCCCTCTCCCTCTCCCCGGGGCCTAGTGAGCAGCAGGAGAGGCCTGGTTCACTGCACCCCGTCTTGGGGGGGACCACCCCACCCATCTGCACCAACGGTGGCAGCATACCCAAGCACACCTAGTCATGCACGCCGTCCTGCGCAGGTGGAGGCGCTGACCCGACAGCCTCGAGCCACGACAGTGCACGCCGTGCGAGACACAGAGCTGGCCAAACTCCCCGAGGGCACTTTGGGCCACATCAAACGGCGCTACCCGCAGGTGTGTCTTCCGGTGGGCGGAGCAGCGGGCCTGAGAGGCGGGGCCTACGGGTGGGCGGGGCCCGGGCCGGACCGGCGCTGGCTGTGTGGGGGCAGAGCGCAGATAACGGGGACCCCAGGCGCTCGCGTGGAGGAATGGTGGGATTCACAGTTGACCACTGGTCTTCATATCCTCAGGTCGTGACCCGCCTCATTCACCTCCTGAGTCAGAAAATCCTGGGGAATTTGCAGCAGCTGCAGGGACCTTTCCCGGGTGAGAGCCTGTCTGCTCCGGGGCATGCTGGGGGTTGTAGTTTAGTCCCCAGAGCATGCTGGGAGGGAAAGCCCTCTTAGGGGCTTGTTGGGAAACGGTTCACCATTTGAACCATGCTGGAGGCGGGGTTAAAGCCGGAAATGGAACCTAGGGTCCCGTGCATGCTGGGAAGTGGAGTTCTTGTTTAATGCACTCTGAAGTGAGTCCGTGGGTGCCGTGTAGGGTTCAGGGCATGTTGGGAAGTGGCCTCTGAAGTTATCAGCATGTTGAGAGAGGTAGATCCATGTCCCAGCTTGTGATTATGAGCAAGGGTGTACTGGGAAGTGAGCTGGGCTCAAGGCAAGCTGAAATGTGGGCCTGGGGTTCTACGAGACGGCGACCCAATTCCCTCAGGAGCTTTCACCCCGTGGGCTGTAATCTCCACCCCCGTGTTGGTGGTGGAATTAGTTGCTAACAAAGTACACAGAAAGGGCTGGGGAATGCAGCTTCCCCAGCGTAGAGGGCTTGACTAACACGCTCTGGGTCCAATCCCCGGTACCACGAGAAAAAAGATAGCAGAACGTCAGGAGCTGACAAGGACCGTGAAGAAAACAAAGTAGGGTGTTAATGTATGTGACCACGGTCAGGAGAGAGGGAGGCCTCGAGGACCATGAGCTGAGACCGACAAATGCAGTGGGCGAGACGCGGAAAGCACCAGGCAGGCCCAGCGCGTGGGGTTTGGTGGTCTTGAAATTGACTGAGAGAGAGATGGGAGCAGGGGAGGGTTATACAGGAGCTGCAGGCCTCGAGCGGGCATTTGAGGTAACTTGGCTGGCACTGGGGACAAAGATCCAGCCAGCAAGGGGACGGTGAGGTCCAGGGAAGAGGTGAGAGCTGAGGGCTTGGCCGACGCTGTCACTAGAGAAGCTGAGAAGCAAGAAATGGGTCAAAGGTGTGTTTATTCCTGCCTGCTTTTGTGTTCTACAGGAGCCCAGGCCCGAATGGGGTGGGAGCTCCCATGGGTCTACACTGGCACAGTGAATCTGAGTTGTGTCATGGGTCCCTCTGAGGAGGTCAGGGGTAAAGTCAGGGTTGGCCGACCGAGCTCTAACAAGTGTTGCTAGGGCTGTGGGTCCAGAACTGGGACTGTGGCCTTCAGTGTGGTCCGGTAAGGACTTGGAGCAGCTGGGAAGAGCGGGAGGAGGACGAAGCAGACGTCTCCTCTCCTGCAGACGCAGGTTGCACAGTACCTTTCACCCTGTACCGTCTCCGCAGGCTCGGGGCTGGGCGTCCTTCCCCACTCGGAGCTCACCAACCCCGCCAGCAACCTGTCCACGGTGGCGGTCCTGCCGGTGTGTGCGGAGGTGCCCATGATGGCTTTCACGCTGGAGCTGCAGCATGCACTGCAGGCCATAGGTCAGTGGGGTGCAGGGACGTAGTGAGGTTCAACCCTGGGCCGCTGTGGATGGACGCACCTCGCTGGGGGAGAGGGAGGTGGGCCGCACAGGGCCCAGGCCGCCTTCTGGGGCTGCAGACCGGCTCCTAAGCACCTTCCTCACCTGCTCCCAGGCCCCACGCTGCTGCTCAACAGCGACATCATCCGGGCACGCCTGGGGGCTTCGGCGCTGGACAGGTGTGTGGGACGTGGCAGCGGGGAGCAGGGTTCGCGAGGGGGGCCTGCCAGAGCCCCGATTCTTTCAGATAGGGGTGGAGTGCCTGGCGTGCACCGCACCCCTAGGGCAATTCGCAGGCAGTGGGGCAAGGCTTTCCCCGGGGGCGGGAACTTCCCAGGACCCCTGTTGTGGGACTAAGCTCTTCTCAGCTAGGGACTCTGGTCTCTGGGGAGTGAGGGACCCCGATAGCCATGACGATGACACCCCTCCCATTCCGTGCCAGCATCCAGGAGTTCCGGCTGTCAGGGTGGCTGGCCCAGCAGGAGGACACTCATCGCATCGTGCTCTACCAAACGGATGCGTCGCTCACGCCCTGGACCGTGCGCTGCCTGCGCCAGGCCGACTGCATCCTCATCGTGGGCCTAGGCGACCAGGAGCCCACGCTTGGCCAGGTCCAGAGCCACAAACGCCGACACCCCTCCCCCAGCTCCTCCCCCTGGAGCTGGGCCACGAGCACCTCCCCATAAGGCCAGGCCATCAGGGACCCCCTTTTGGCCAGGTGGGGAGAGGAAGACCAGCGACCCTGTTCTCCCTTCCGCAGCTGGAGCAGATGCTGGAGAACACAGCTGTGCGCGCCCTCAAGCAGCTCGTGCTGCTGCACCGGGAGGAGGGCCCCGGCCCCACGCGCACCGTGGAGTGGCTCAACATGCGCAGCTGGTGCTCGGGGCACCTGCACCTGCGCTGCCCGCGCCGCCTCTTTTCTCGCCGCAGCCCGGCCAAGCTGGTGAGGGGCGGGGCCCTGGAGGAACAGCCCACTTCGTGTGGGTGTGGTTTGGGTGGGTGGGGATCTGGCTGGCTCCACCTCCTGTGGGCGGGGCCTTGAGCTGAGACGGCTGCAAAGATCAGGAAGTACCTGGGGAATCCACTAGGCCCGGTCCCCACCCTCCTTACTCCAGGCTCCATTTCTCCCTGATCCCAGCACGAGCTCTACGAGAAAGTCTTCTCCAGGAGGGCAGACCGGCACAGCGACTTCTCGCGTTTGGCGCGGGTGCTCACGGGAAACACTATCGCCCTGGTGCTGGGCGGGGGCGGGGCCAGGTGAGGGGCGGGGCCGGCTCTGGGGCGGGGCTTCTCCTGGGGCGGGGCGGGCGCCTGAGGGGTGGAGTTGCTTCCCGGGATGGGAAAGGACCCCGGGAGGCAGGACTGGCAGCTTATCCCGGTGGCTGAGGGGCAGGTGAGGAGCTGGAAGCTCCTGAGGCGGGGCCTGGCGGTTTCTCAGCTTGTCACTGGGTCTCCTCCTCCCTGCAGGGGCTGCTCGCACATCGGGGTGCTGAAGGCATTGGAGGAGGCTGGAGTGCCTGTCGACCTGGTGGGGGGCACGTCCATAGGCTCCTTCATCGGGGCTCTGTACGCAGAAGAGCGCAGCGCCAGCCGCACCAAGCAACGGGCTCGGGAATGGGCCAAGGTGTGTGCTGGGGACGGGGTGGCCACATCCCAGGAACACTGAGACCTGATTCGGGAGTGGGGAGGGGCTTCCAGTCCTGGGTGGTGTGCTTCCTAGTTTGATCTGTGAACCCTGCCTAGACCCTTGTAGACCCCGGGACTTCCGGGCTGGTGAGCCTGGTCCCTAGGTCCCAGCTAGAGCAATCTAGACCCTCCTCGGTCAGCACCTCGTTAGTGGCCCTGGGGGACCACACCGCCATCCTTGTGTGCTCCCGGCTCAGCCCTGACCGTCTCTCTGGGACTCCGAGGGGCCCCCTTTTGACCCGGCCGGTGCCCTTTTCCCCAGAGCATGACTTCCGTGCTGGAGCCCGTGTTGGACCTCACCTACCCAGTCACCTCCATGTTCACGGGCTCGGCCTTTAATCGCAGCATCCACCGTGTCTTCCAGGATAAGCAGATTGAGGTACGCCCACCTCCACTTCCGCCCTGCCCGGCCCTCCTTCCGGCATCCCTCTCCTCCTTCCCCTGCCAAGGCCCCTGTCCCCATAGGACCTGTGGCTGCCATACTTCAACGTGACCACAGACATCACTGCCTCGGCCATGCGTGTGCACAAAGACGGTGGGTGCCGCCCTGCCTGGCCTGCTATAGCTGCTGTGGTGGGGTGGGGGTGGGGGGCAGCTTTAGGGAGGGCAGCTGAGCACCTGGGACGTTGTTAACATGAGTGACTGTCCGCTGTGGCCCAGCCGCTGACCACTAACCATCACCCACTAATGCCCGGAGGCCCCAGGTACGTCCTTCCTCGGGGGTGGGGACCCGGGAGGCTCTTCGGGCTCCTCACCCGCTGCCCCGTCCCCACAGGCTCTGTGTGGCGTTACGTCCGGGCCAGTGCCTCCTACTGCCCCTACCTGCCCCCACTGTGCGACCCCAAGGACGGGCACCTGCTGGTGGACGGGTGCTACGTTAACAACGTGCCAGGTCAGCGAGCCCGCGGGGCTGGCTGGGCCTCGGAGCACGTCTGAGTGTGTCTCTGTGCGTTTGTGTCTGTGTGTTCCACGGGGCAGGCTCTCTCTGGCGATACGTGCGTGCCAGCATGACGCTCTCGGGCTACCTGCCCCCGCTGTGTGACCCGAAGGACGGGCACCTGCTGATGGATGGCGGCTACATCAACAACCTGCCAGGCAAGTGCTTCCCGCGAGCTCCCGCCCAGGCCCGTGCATGAGCAGGCAGGTACACGTGGACATGTCGAGGGGAGGACTTGGGGCAACCAACCTGTGCACAGCTGCCGGGGCACACACGTGTGCACGCAGTAGATACACGGGTGTTCCCACAGGCAGTGATGTGTGCAGTTGAAGAGTACGTGTGTGTGCGTGTGGCTGTTAGATGCACACAAGAGGGACACAGATTTGTGCACAGACACGCGTGTACACCAGGAGCAAGGGGATCGAGGCGGACACCTGTGTGTACACGCCGGGCACACTTGCTTGTGTGTTCTCTCAACTGCTCACACGGTAGTGGAACGTTCACGGGCACACAGACGAGTGCAAGGATGAAAGCAGGCACGGAACTCACACGTGCCCTGTGTGTTCTGTTCCACATGCGTGTGTCGGCGTGCAAACAGGATGGGGCACCTGTGTGGCCAGGTTAAGTGTGGCCAGGTTAAGCGTGCTTATGTGCCCCGTCTTTACCAGTACAGACGTGAGTCAGGCGGGGCACAGCTTCCCCCGCTCACACCCAGAAGCACGCGTGTGCACATAGACGTGTAAGTTAGCTGGGCACCCACCCACATTCCCAGGGACAAGCTGGCCCCCTGTCCACAGCGGGGCATCTGCACCCGGTCACTTGCCTGTTATCTGCGGCTGTGTTTGAGTGACAGCCACACACGTGTGCACAGGGGCCTACACACGCACGGGTGCACGGCACCCTCAGCATACACTGAGGCAGTTGCAGGTCTAGAGAAACACAGGTGGATCTGGGTGTGTGTGCGGAGATTTGGGCTGCCCAGGGTTGTGTGTGTTCAGCGACACCACAGGCACATGGGCACGGCCCACATCCCCAGACACCAGTGCCTAAGGGTTGTGTGTGCAAAGTGCGAGGGAGGGGCAGCCCCGTCTCCATGCCCCTAGGCCCGTGTAGGGCTGCCCTGGGCTCGCAGACCACCCTCCCCGCTGGGCCAGCCCCCCACCCCTCCCTCAACTTCCTCAGCGTTGGTTTCTGTGCCGTTTGCATGAACGCATGTTGTTTGCGTGGCATCCTTGTGTGGCACTCGCGTGATGGCATTGGCGGGACCGGGTTGAACCTCCCTTCCCCGGGCTCTGGTGGGGAGCAGCCCGCTGACGCCACCGGCCCCACAGCGGACATCGCACGCAGCATGGGTGCCAAGACGGTCATCGCCATTGATGTGGGCAGCCAGGACGAGACGGACCTCAGCACCTACGGGGACAGCCTGTCGGGCTGGTGGCTGCTGTGGAAGCGGCTGAACCCCTGGGCGCACAAGGTGAAGGTCCCCGACATGGCCGAGATCCAGTCCCGCTTGGCATACGTGTCCTGCGTGCGGCAGCTGGAGGTCGTGAAATCCAGCTCCTACTGCGAGTACCTGCGCCCATCCATCGACTGCTTCAAGACCATGGACTTTGGGAAGTTCGACCAGATCTATGTGAGCTTGTGGGAGAGATACGGTTCTGCCTGGTAACCCAGCAGACAGTTTGACTATTTGCAGCCTGGAACAGTAGGAGAGGAAGGATTCTAGGGATCTATCCAGAACCAATAGGAAATGGGTCAGTAGTTGATTAGTGATGTCTGCAGTGGGCCTGACATATGAGTCACTGGTCTGTTAGTGATGTCTGCAGTAGACAGGGCATGTGGATCAGTGGTCCCTTAATGATGTCTGCAGTGGGCGTGGCATGGGACTATGGCTGCCTGTTCTCTGTGCATAAGCTGGGTTTCTTGTTATGTGCCAGCTGTGTTGCCCAACACCCTGGATAGTGATTTTTTAATGCTCTTCATGCATGGGTAGAGTGACAGCAGTGATCAACTACGTCTGGGAGGTGGGCAGGAGCGGTGTCACAACTCAAGCCAAGTGAAACTGGCCAGCAGCTGCTGCCCAGAGGCCCAAGTTGAAACATCTGATGTCCTTTTTGGGACCGCTGGGAAAGCACTGTGACAGATCAGTGGTATCTGCTGTGGCCTTGGGAGATGGCAGCAGCCACAGTCATACTGGGGATAAGTTTGAACACCGCCACCTTGAGGCCCTTGGTGCATGCCCCACCGCGTGGGGCTTCATGGGAAGCAGTGATTGTCAGCAGTGTCCACAGGGGCACAGACCGGAGGCATAGGGCTGAGGTACTAGGAATGGCTGGCTCTGGGGTGATTTTAATCTTGGGTGCCTGATCCCCTAAAGCCTCAGGCACTTGAGGGGACAGAAAAGGGGCTGTTCAAGGGGGTGGGTGGGCGGCAGGCACAGCCCCAGCTCCCTTGCTGTCGCAGGATGTGGGCTACCAGTACGGAAAAGCAGTGTTCGGAGGCTGGAGCCGGGGCGACGTCATTGAGAAAATGCTCACAGACCGGAGGTCTACGGACCTCAATGAGAGCCGCCGCACAGATGTAAGCCTGTGACCCCACATCTCCACCACGGCCAGGGCTCCTCTCTTCCCCCGGACCTGACGCCCTGGGTCCCGCTGGGCCCCTCGGAGCATGGCTGACGCCGAAGGGCACTCCCCGGGATCTCTGCTGAGGCCCAGGACCCACGCCTCCCAACGCCACCCCGCAGGTACTAGCCTTCCCCAGCTCCGGCTTCACCGACTTGGCGGAGATCGTGTCCCGGATTGAGCCCCCCACAAGCTACGTCTCCGATGGCTGCGCCGATGGTGAGGGGCCGAGAGGGAGCCCTGGAGCCTGGGCTGGGCCCGCAGCTGGGGGGCCGTGGCCGGAGGTGCCATGCCAGCCTGCACCCCTCACCTGTACCCCGCACCCCATTCCAGGGGAGGAGTCCGATTGCCTGACAGAGTACGAGGAGGATGCGGGACCGGACTGCTCGAGGGATGAAGGGGGGTCCCCCGAGGGTGCCAGCCCCAGCACCGCCTCGGAGGTGGTGAGCACGGGGGCCGGGGGAGGTCCGACCGGCGCGTGCTGGGTGACGGGGCACGTGGTCGGCCTCTTGGGGCGGTTGAGTCGCAGTCCCCCGAGGAAAGGCGGCAGGGGAAGCCCAGCGTATTAACGTCATCGCACCGGGCGGGCTGTGCTGCTGGGCTGAAGCCACCCTGGACGCCCGCATGAGGCGGCTCCAAGGGGCAGGCAGGGAGGAGGACCGGCTCTGGGTGGCCAGGGAAAGTCCCCCCTGGGCTGCGCTGGTGTGGGTGGCGTGGCCGGTGTGCGTCCCGGGGCTCCCGTGTCAGTGGCCTATGCCCGGCGACACCTGCGCGTGGCCTGTTCCCCCAGGAGGAGGAGAAGTCCATGCTCCGGCGGCGGTGCTTGGTGCCCCAGGAAGCTGCTGGCTTAGGCGCGGATGCTTGAGGACCGCGCCCCAGGCGGGGCTGAGGGAGGCCGCGGGAAGCTGCCCCCTCCTTTGCTGCTATGCTGTGGCTCTCCCCGGGGCCCACACTGGACTGGCCTGCCCGGCCCACCCTTGACCAACCGTGCCCCTGATAAACTGCCCCCTCTTGGAAGCGGTCCGGTGTCATCTTTGGGTTTGGGGGGCTCCTCACCCTAACCTCGGGCTCAGAACGGCCAGGGCTGGGGTCTGGAGAGGCCTGAAGGTGGTCCCCGCGGTGACAGTTCTCATATGGCCCTGGTGTGCTGCTGGGTCAGGGGGATCTCGGGGTCCCTCTCCTGCTCCTCACTTCCCTACTTGGTGCCCGTGGCCCGCACCCCTCGGTTAGCCTGGCTGTGAGCGAGTGCTATGGCACGGGGTGTGCCGAGTCCCTCCCAGCCGATCTCCCTCGCTGGGACACAGCCCACGGGGCCTGAGACACCCCTCCGGGGGCTCCCGCTGCCGAGGTCTTCGGAACAGGCAGGTCCCCACCGTGCGTCGAAGCCCGTCCCCTGGTCTACCTCACTGTCCCGGATGCTGGCTCAGACTGTGAGAGCCGCGGCTGCCTGGCCTACGTGCGCCGACCCGTCCCCTGGTCTACCTCACTGTCCCGGATGCTGGCTCAGACTGTGAGAGCCGCGGCTGCCTGGCCTCGGGTGGTGACCCTTCCGTCCCTGGTGGCTTCCCCTATAAGGTGGAGGTGGTGCTGGGGTCTGCCTCTGCGGTGTTGTTTTTATGGGACTCCAGCCTGGGCCCCTGGAGGATCTGGCCAGGACCCCCCCTTCCACTGCATGCTGGACCCAGAGTGGTGCCCCAAAGAAGGACTGCCCGAGGGTAATGGGGAGCCTTGGAAGGTTTCTTTAGGACTCTGGATGTTGCAAAAGGTACAAAGCAAAATATTGCCATTTTAAGCATTTTAAAATGTAAAGTTCAGCTTATAATCCCAGCACTCAGGAGGCTGAGGCAGGAGGGTCACCACGAGTTCACGGCCAGCCCAAGCTACACAGAGACCTGTCAAATAAAAAAAATGTAGCCGGGCGTGGTGGCGCACGCCTGTAATCACAGCGCTCGGGAGGCTGAGACAGGAGGATCGCTGTGAGTTCAAGACCAGTCTGTGCTACATAGTGAGACCCTGTCTCAGACAAACAAAATAAATGTAAATTGGCATTCATACATTTGCGTTGCTGTGCAACTGTCACCACCGTCCACCTCGTCCCAAGCTGAAACTCTGACCCATGAGACGTGAACTTCCCCTCCCAGGCCCTGGCACCCCCATTCTACTTCCTGTCTCTGCGGGGGGGGGGTCTGACCGCCTGAGAGCAGGTCCCTGAAAATGCGTCCCTTTACGCCTGACTTACTTCACTAAGCATCGTGTTCTCACATTTCTTCCACCTGTCGCATGTCAGAATGCCCTTCCTCTTCGGGGCTGAATACTATTCCCTCGCGTGGGTGGACCACATTTTGTTTATCTGTTCACCCACTGGCCAATGCTTGGGTTGCTTCCCCCTTTCGTTGTTGTGAACTGTGCCGCTGTGAACATTGGTGCATGTCGGGCTTTCTGCTTTCGGAGCCTGTGGGGATATTCTCAGGGGAGGAATTGCTAGGGTCTAGGGTAATCTCGAGTTTAAATGAAGCGCTTCGGGTCTTCCGTCCGAACAGCACCGTTTTTCAGTCCCAGCGGCCGTCCTCGTACTTGGCCGTCAGCACCAAGGACAGGGAGGGCGCTGTCCGAGGTGCTAAAGCGGCCCCATCTGTTGTAAACTCTTTGCCCGGTGTCTCTGTCCTCTCCGGGTTACTGGGTGTGGGGCCCGGGCAGCACATTAAGCTGAACATTCTCCCGGACGTGGGCGCCCGTCAGGGCCTCCCCGCGTTTGGTGCTTCGCTGCGTCTTTGCCCCTCTGCTCCAATCTCACCAGCTTCTTTCTGTTCCTCTGTCTCTCCGCCGATTTCCACCTCCAAGACCTCTGCCCTTCACGATGTGTGTGTCTGAGTAACCCTATACTACAAGGCCACCTCTTCGGGCTGCCTGAAGACCTTCCCTGCCACTATGGGGGAAAATATTACTACCATATTTGGGTTTTTTAAAAAATTCATTCATTCACTCACTCAGGGTCTCATGATGGAGCCCAGGCTGGCCTTGAACTCACTACATTGCTAATGTTAGCCTCCTGCCTCAGCCTCCCGAGTGCTGGGATGACAGGCATGCACCACTACACCTGGTGACTGTCTCACTTTATACCAAAGAAAATTGAGGTTTAGAAAGTTTCCTCAGAGCCGGGTGTGGTGGCACACGCCTGTCATCCCAGCA